TTAGATTTGATGAATTAAATTTTAAAAGGAATTCATTTTTTTTTAAATATAGGTTGAAGGTCAAAAAATTAAGCGATGAACTGAATATAATTAGTTGAATAAATGAAATTCGAATTAACTCTTGGTGAGAAATCTCTACTTGTTTTTTCGTAATATTTCAAAAATGGTTAGTTTCAGCTACGGGATCTGGATTTTCAACCAATCCAACCCGAACGTAAACTACGTCTCCTCATTGTTGCACATCGATTTTACGGTTACGGATCGGACGGGGTCATTTAAAATCTTTGGTACTATCTAGTTTCCCGAGGGTTTCGGTATTACGTCAAACTTTCTTGGGAATTCTGGACGTTCAGTCTTCTTCACAAAACTCGATTGAATTACGTTAAAGTGTGCAATACTAATAACTAATACCATTCGTACAATTATAGGGTAATTAATAGAAGTACCGGGTTGTGGGAGGATTCGTAGTATTTTTACCACATTTTAGAAGTCGATTTTGGAATGGGATTATAACTGGATTAGTAAAATTGGATTTCAGATACTAGCTTTTCAACTCACGCGTTAGATCAGTCGATGATGAAAATGGAATTTCCCTGATGCTTAATCCCGAATATCAACCATATAATCGATTAAATGATTTGCAGGAATGGGACTCACCAAGCAGTATTTGCGATATAAACACGACGGTACCTGTAACGTGGTAGCATCCAGCAGTGGGACTGTTGCCGCTATTACTGATAATATTTGTGCTGTGTCAGCATGTGAAAATGTTCACTTTTATAACATGAAATTGGGCGAAAAGGTTAGTCTTGCCCTTATTAACCTTACTATCAGAATTAGTTTTGATAAATAAGTCGAGGTTTTCTAAAACTGCATCAGAATTCGAGTAAACTGTGCACATTTATGAAATGGCACTATGGAAAATTAATGCAAATAATTGAGCTTTAAATTATTTCTTCTTAGCCAAAAATTTCTTCTATATAGGTTTAAAATTTTGTAGATATAAATAGTTTATATAGACTGTGCTTCACAAAACTGGAGAAAATTAGAACAGTTCAGGAACC